GTTCAGGGAGAACCGATTCATCGTCTTCGATACCAAGATCACAACCATTTTCCGATCCTATTACCCCCTATTCGGACCGGGGCATTACCGCTAGCCCCGCTGAAATTCGCATTGCACATAATCTAGAATTTCCTCGAACTAATACGCAGCCTTCGGGAATATATCCTGAGTTGGATCGCTATCGAAATGTCGAGCTTCCCTCGAGAGGCGGACCGAGCATAGAAGTCCCATTCAAACTGTCAACCGAGAACCTTCCTCCACCAACACCACTCTTCTCGGGTGGAAGCAGCCACAGTCAGCTGAGTGCCTTCAGTGCGAGTCCTTCTACTAGGTTTTCCGAGTCGCCTGGACCTGGGTCTTATAGCCGAGACACAACCCCAACCTCGATATCATCACAGTCGCCTGGGCTCTTTGTGCCATATCGTCTTCCTATTTCTAGGGCAAGGCAAGCAAGTCCAGCCGAGACCCGACCGCCTGTAACTCGGAGAAGGGCTGGTAGTATACCAAATGAGGGAGACACTTTTGGTACCGATCCCAATGGTCTTGCCGCGGTCCGGGAGGCGTTGAATTCGTCGTCATCGAACTCTACGGTACGCCCCGAAGATAAGGAGAAGAAAACGCGCCGAGGGTTATCACCTGCGATGCCGAACCCTCCTCCTAGGAAGTCATCTCAAAAGTTCAAGAAAAGTGGAGGAGAAAGCGAGTCGCTAATTAAAGCTCCTCGGGTAGTTACTCGACCCTTAATGAGGTCTCCGCCCCAGACGAAAGTTAATTGGTCATCCCACGAGAAATCTCAGGAAATTATAACATCCCCTAAGACTCGCCTAACACCACCCTCGCGGCCTAGCAGAGATGGAACACCCGACCTTTACTCACAATTTGGTGGTCCGGTTCCCGTAATTCACAGCAACCTATCTTCAACAAGCCTCGCCGATCGACGTCAAAGTGGCCAGCTCGCACCCAGTTCATTGCCAAGGTCTATGGCTCCTTCTCCTCAAGACCACTTGGTTTTATCAAAAGGGGCTGTACCTCGAGAGCCTACACCAGCACCGCGTGCAGTAATTACGAAGGCCACCCAATCAAACCAAGAGAAAGGCAGAACCGTCAGGACACCTAGCCCAGCCACTTCGTTTAGAACAAGATTTCCGCTCTTCGGGAGGCGAACCAAGACAACCCCGGAACTACCGCAGGTAGACAAGAAAGACAAGCCCGCTCGAAAAGGACCCGCTGCCGGAACAGGCCACGAAGGATATGGTCGAATAGGCCATGTTAGAAAGCGTAGCAGCGGTGCTGTGAACCCCCCGCGCGGTCTGCCGGGCTCGTTTTCTTCATCTGAAAGCCTTGCAAGTCAATCAACAGACCCATTCTTCTTGGAACGAATGAACCCTGTAATAATCGCCGGTGGCGAGATTGTGGAAAACCGAAACACCAGCTTTGAAATTCCGCAGACCGAAAGCAGTCAGAGTATGATTCCGGGTCGTCTAGGTATTGGTTCCCGCAACAACTCGACCGTATCCGAATCTTCGAGGGAGGAATTGCGACAAACGTTGTGGCCTTCGGCATTCCCTCGTGATTCAACACAGTCTCGTCCTTCGGATAGTAGCGACTCAGAAGCTGTTTCGATGAAGCCTACTATTGCTATTCGAAGGTCAATTCAACGACTGAGGTCCCCAAACCGCTCTCCTTTGAATCTTCCGAAACCAATCGTTACTAAAGGAATAACCTCCCCATCGGTAGGGAGCATAGAAACGACGATCTTGACCGACGACTCTTTTGCGGAGCCTCGACCAGAACCTGTCAGTGAGCAGATTGAGTCCAAGCCCGGGCCACGAAAGCTCACTAAGCGAGCGAGGTCTCCTCGCAAATGGAACCTATTTGGGAGATCGCAAAGCCAACCCCCTAAGGATCGTAACAATAAAGTCGAGGCGAGCGTGTCCGCGGCAGTGAAGCACGCCCCAACTAAGCCGGTCGCGTTCTATACGATGATGGACTCTTCTGAACAAGATGAAACCGAGGAGCAAGACGTTTGCGAAATTTTGAGGGAGGCAGAGGTTTTAATCCCGTTTATGCCTCCTAACGATCATGATCGAAGGCCATCCGAGAGCAGTATTCGATCCTTAGACCCGCCTCGTATCCGTCAGCACCAGCTGAAAGAGGCTACGCCAAAACCGGCGCAAAACGTTGCTCTCCATACGAAATCGCAAAAAACATCGATATCGAAGCCGCAAAACAGGGCTCCTATCTCCGTTTCAAGTAATCCCAGAGTCCGTCCGAGTAGGCTTCCTCAAGTTGGCAGGATACCCAAGGTTATCAATACCCGCCCAGAACAGACGTCTCCGAAGAGCTTCTCCCGCCCTTTTCATCGGATCAGTCTCCAAAGACCGCCTCCTGACCTAAGCCAAGTTGACGGTAACTCCGTTGCGAAGGGTCCAAGCCCAACAAGGCCTTTATCCCTTGAACGTGCTCAGACGGAACCATCGGTAACAACTACCATTCATAATGCCTCCATCAAACCAGAACCACCTTCTGAAGATTTGTCTCCTAAGTTTGGCGAAGCTGGAAAGGAATTTCTTGCATTTTCGCCTCAAAAAGGTTCTGAATGCACGACAAGCTCTGGGTCTAGCAATTCAGAGTTGGTGCATGCATTCAAGCATACCCCGTTACCTCCAACACCGAACGTCCCGCTTACTGAGGACGAAATTTGGGATGAATACAACGACTTCTTGGGTGAGGTGCCGCCATCAGCGACCTCTTCTCGGGGTGTTCCTTTCCATCTGGAGATCTATAGCTCTAGGTTGGCGAAGGAATCAAGCAAGTCGGTTGAATCACCTACCGTTAATAATCATCCGGCCAAGGACACTCGTGATTCTATCGGGACTAGAAAAAGTGCTACCTCGTCAAGTCACTTCAGCGCTGATATGACAGCTAGAATCAACGCGGCTTTCAGATTCGGCACTGAAGCACCGACAACACCATTTTCAGTTTCGGAATTTGTATCTGGATATGGCGACAGCAATACTGGTAACCAACAACCAGACAAGGAGCCAGACAAGGAACCAGACAAGGCACCCGTTCCTCAGCGAGATAGCTCGTCTTCGAACAAAAGTACTAAGACTAAGAGAAGTTCAACTAGTAGTCGTTCCAGCGAAGAAACACCTCTTTCCCAGGTCAATCTTCGCGTAGGCTCAATGACGGTGAGCAAATGGCTCACGTTTGGCCATGTTCTATTCAGCCCGGTCCGCGAAGACCTCAATAATGACGTCGGCTCACTCAAGCGCCATTCAATTCTTGTCATTGACGGCCTTGGAAATGACGACTGGTCTTTCTACGCTGCCGAAACCTACCCTGATGCAACCTTCTTTAACTTATCTCCTCGTGCACCGATGTCACCAGAGCAAAAGTCGACTCCTTCGTTTCCCCTCTCGCCACCTAATCATCATCAGATCCAATTGATATCACACATGGATAAGCTCCCTTTCGGGCCAGACAGCTTTACGGCAGTCGTGTTCCGGTTCCCATCTGCAGCCCCAGAATCTCACTATCGCAATATCATTTCAGAGGCGCGCCGTGTTCTCAAGCCTGGAGGATACATCGAACTATCCATCCTCGATGTGGACTTGAACAATATGGGTAACCGTACTCGGCGCTCGGTACGCCAACTCAAGGAGCGAATCAGCGCACGTAATCCCGACTACAATCTTAGCAGCACAGCGGACCTCATTCTTCGCCTCCTTGGTAAGAAAGGATTCACTGACGTCAAGACTTGTCGCGTTGGCGTGCCCGTGGCGAGTGCGATTACAAGCTCCTCTCGCGTTAAAGGCAAGAAGGATGAACGAAGCCTAGCGGAAATGATGAACGATAAGACGGAACTGGGCGACGAGAATATCACGAAGATGGTTTCGAAAGTCGGACGATGGTGGTATAACCGATGCTACGAAACCCCAACCGGAATGACTACCAGTATCTGGAACGACAAGTATTTGCTGGCCGAATGCGAGGAGTGGGGAACGAGCCTCAAGCTTATGGTATGCCATGCAAGAATGCCCGAAGCGGGAGGAAGAGTTGCAAGCATATGATATGCCTTCGACATATAGTTTCCTGATGATCCTTATATCTTCACGATGTCTTCGACAGCCCAGCTTTTTGGAACTCGAAATCCTCGGACCTGGAGTTATTCCCTTCCTCACTGGACAACATAATCTCTATCGACGTGTACAGAATCTATACTATCCTGGACTCATACTCCCTTGCACTATATTTCCTTTCGAAATTGTCTTACGGGAAAAAAAAAAATTTCACGAGAATCGCGAGAAATCATTTAAAGATCTAAAGATGGCGCAAGCCTATCATGAAAATCTAGTTTTTTTTTTAACTTAACTAAGCATAAGAAATGGCAGGAACCAGAAGACTCAAAGTCATTGCATATAAACAAGAGACCGGTAAAACAGTACGGCTTCAACAAACTAACTCGCTCTTCCCTCGACTGGGAACATAGCGATCGTTTTTCATTTCTGGACATACGAAACTTTATGCATCTATTTTACCTACCTTTCTAACCAGGCTTGATAGCCTGGCAAGATCTACCATCTAATACTTTATTGCTCATTGTCGCGGGACCGGCCTCCAGGAGAGCTCCACTGCTTCTGATCAAGAACATTGGGAGTTGGGTTACATGGGTATTAAGAAAGGAGGCTTGGTTTTTAATTGGGTTATCCCGCCTTTGCAATTGTATCACCAGAGGCCGGATTTATGGGTGTGCGGAGGGCTCTGGAAGCGAGACGATACTGGGGGAACTACTCGAGGCGACGTGCCTTGTGGCGAGTGGAATTGTTTGAAAAGAAAGACGTGACGAAATTATGATACCTAATGACGATGTAGAAGCACGGGAAAGCCTTGAAATTGGTCATGAGACGGAGATTATATGAATGTTCAGAGCAAGCGCAGCAAGTCTAGAGATACCCCATTCTTTTCTAATAATGAAATATTATTCTAAATCAAATCTTCATCTTTTTGTTAAGTGATTTCAATCCGAGTGAACGTTCTATTTGCTCTACTGCCAAGATTTTTGAGGTCTGTCCGATATATAAGCCCCATTGAACGCCTTTCTATGACAATGTCGCAATCCTAAAGCCCATAAACTAAGCTACGGGACTTGGGTATATAGTATATACATGTTTTGTACGATTGGGTATTATATGCAAGTTCCGTTCCTTCCCCTTAATACATATCCTAAATCATCCGTCCATATCCGACTTCATACATGTCGGACTTATTAGCAATCCCGGTAGCTCCTGGCCCCGAGACATTTCCGCCTGTGTACATCGCTTCTCCTTTTTTTTTTCTAAGCGAAGTCATCATGAATAAATTGTCGTTCTCCTCCTAAACAGAACCTCGGCGGTCATGCTCGGACTCTTAGTCATCATAAACATGTTGGGTGCCGGCCGGCCCTCGCCGTCCCGTAGCTTGATGTCGTAATGCAGCAGTAGGTACGCGAGGACCATCTTGATCTCGCAGCCGGCGAAGAAGCGGCCCGGACACGCGTGCTTTCCCAGCCCGAAGTTCATGGCTGTGTCGCCGATGCTGGTGAACTGCCACCGCCCATTCGCGTTCGCAGAGAGCTCGTCTGTTGTTGTTGTTGTTGAAGTTGGTAGGGTAGTGGTAGAGGATGCAGGTGAAGAGAAAGATGAGGATGAGGATGATGATGAATGTTGATGTTGTCGGAGTTTCCAGAATCGTAGCCCGTCGAAGACTTCGGGGTCCGGATAGTATCGCGGGTCGACGGCGATGCCGGCCATCGGTGCGAGAAGATTGGTGCCCGATGGTAGGTGTGTTCCGTCGGATAGATCGACTGGCTTCATCACTTTTCGGATGAAGGATGCTAATAAGTTAGAGGACGTAATTTTGCATTTGTTTTGCTTGAACAACACTTACTGACGTTCCCGGACAGTCGCTGAGACTCCTTGATAAAACTATCAAGTTTCTTCAGCTTGCCCATACTATCTTTCCTCTCCCATGCCTCATCGTCGTTTAATACTTCACGCGCTTCTTCGCGAAGTATCTCCTGCATGTCTTGGTGCACAGCTAAGTCGTAAATACAATCCGTGGTCAGATTACTCGTCGTGTGAATTGACGCAGCACTTAGCAGTAGCTGTATCTTGCTCTGAATATAGAAGTCTGTCTTCTGGTCCTCCGGCAAGGCATCCTGTAACCATTGGACAAAATCGTCGGGCTTATCGTATCCGGGTGTCTCTGCGTCACGGATACGCTCTTCAATAATAGGCGTAAGCATCGCCTGTGCCCTCTCTAGGTCTCTCCGGATCGTGCGTAGCTCGGAAACTAGATATTGTGCTGCAGGGCGCATCCACGGCGGGAAGAATTGTAGCTTGATAACCGCGATAAAGGCGGTGATGGCGAAGTTGATGCTCACATCCATCCATTCCTCTGACCGGTTCAGCAGTGGTCCAACAAAGACACGCCCACTTAGACGAGCAATCGTTCGGACCATGAAAGGCTGTATCTTGAAGGGGGTCCATTCTATTGTCTATCAGTTGACTGGTCATTTCGAGTGCCATCTGCATAATCTACCTTGACACTCGGGAAACTCGTTGGCGATGATGTGTTCGAGCTCTTCCTTGAGCTGTGGCGTCATTCTTGCTAGCTGCCCAGTCATCTTGCACTTCAAGAGCAGAGACAGCGTGTCAGAATGCGCTCCCGCGCAGAGGTTGGTATACTCGCTCAACATAGCCTATATGATATTGTTAATGTCTCAGTTTCTACGAGGTTAGTTCTCCTCTTAAAACTAACCTCTTTAACAGCCGTCCTCGCGCTTAGAGTATCTTCTGGGAGACCCTTGAGCTCGCCGACCAGTGACGACGGGATGATAGTTCTCATACCCTCTGTCGATTTGACCTGGTACACAGTATCACGGAACTGAAATCCCTTTAGCACTATAGACCTCTCCAATGACTAGGGGTTACAGACCTTGGAATAGCTATCCTTGATCAAGGTATCGGCATTAAACATCCATTTTAATCGGGATGCCTGGTAGAAAGGTGCCGAGACACTGCATTTCTGCTTGCCTGATTGAAATAACCATATACAGAACAATACTGCACTGATAGCTACATAATAGCTTAGGCGGCTACCATCTAAGACTTGACTGGGCAACGCGTCTGCGACGATGGTGAAGTTGGTGCGAGGGCTAGCATCCTCTATTATGGACGGCATCGTAATGAGAAGATTGGAGGTTGATGAGAGGGAAAAGGGTTAGGAGAAGGGGAAAAGGAATACTGTTGTTCTGGCTTTCGGTTTGACCATGTGTATTGTCGTTTTTGATAGAGTCGCCGTGGATATAATTAAAACGAATCCGAGTATACTATTACAGTCAAAGAAGTCAAGCAGATACCGGTATAATCCACGATCCACGATCCACGATCCACGCTGCCAGCCCGATTTCAATGGCAGCACTATGGCCACCAAATACGGAAGATTGTAATGAATGTCGAAGGTAGAGACGGGCAAACGAGGTATTGAGTCTTCCTGCTGGTTACTTGAATAGTAACTATGACGTCTAAGGCGTATTTGAAGTAGTTATATTAACAGAAGATAAGAGACGGAAAAAAGAGAGAAAATAAGAGTAAGAAATTAAGAAATTATTGTTCGGTCAACGAACTAGATATGTTAAAACATTTCGACTATGTAAATGGATAGTACGTTTCTCGCGACAAAGAAGTAGGCGACGTTCGCGACTCGGTCGTGATGACCATCCTTGTAAACCCTAACAGAAACGGAAGTTCCGGTTCATATTTGATACCTACTCGACGTCTATTATTTTGCTAGAAACTACCTTCCTAGGTATTGTACCTACCTAAACAGCTCGTGACACCTAAGGGGTTAAACCTTGTTGCTGTTCTTGGTTTCCGACCGGGACGCTGAAACGGGAACTAGTAAATTGAAGCTAAAGACCCCGGGAGATGCCATCTCCGAGACCCTAGTCGACCCCACATCGCCGGTTAGAGCGCCTCACCTATATGTATCACCCTTTCTGTTTTAGACCCTATTATAGTGGGAAAACGTGTAAGTCTTATACAAACACTACCTAACCTTAGGTAGGTAGGTACCTAAGTTAATAAATAGATATTTTAAGACAATCTCTGATAAGATCAAACAATTGGAGAGATCTATATCTAAGTTATCACTAATCTAGTTATTTTATTATTTTACCATTAACACTTCAAGAATAAAATCCACTCGCAAGCTTTTAGATTTCAGTTCATCGACCTGGTCTTTTAAGCCGGTTCCGTAGCTCTTGGCACCGTCTCAGCGAGCAGATCCCCGGCAAGAATTTATATCCGCCCGACTTAACAAGTCTGATCTTCATGCGTAAAACTCGGTCGTTTTGACTATTCTATCTCTTTTCCCTGGGTCCCCCCCTGTGTAGTCCGAGCGACTAGTAGATCTATGATCCGACAAGCAATTCGGATCATCTTAGCGATGCAACAAGCATTGGAGATGCTAGGATTCTGGCAATTATTCGCGACAGCATGATTTCCCATGATCTACAAGGCAACTTCAGCCGTGTGAGTTCATGTGCCGAGACGGCCCCGTAGTTTCGGCATATCTTCCCTAGAGCTTCCCTAAAGCTTCGACAAGGCTTAAATTAATATTCCTCTACCCACTTTTCCACGACGTGCTGGGCGTGCTGGGCGTGTTGCCTCTTCAACCTTCGGTGATTATTTGATGGGCCTTGAAAGTAGTATAAAGTTACTAACTACCGATAAATACATCGACAATTGCGAGGATGGAAAACACCTATGGCAACGAGAATAGAGCCAGTGGGCTATTTCCTACAATTCTTCAGAAGTGAACTTACCCTTCACTATGTCTTCCAGAGTAGACAGACACAGTTACACCAAGTGACACAGTCAACCACGGATGACATTTAGACGACACTAGGAAAGCTTAACGATCTAAAGAAGTCAATTGATGACGTGAAGTCTGACTTAAGAAGGACTGCAAATGACCAACATATCGAAATCTTAAACTCTGTTAAGAAGGCACGGAATGAAAACACACTATTTCACACACAATCAGCGCAACAGGCTATTGCGGATCACTCCTTAGTCTATCAAGGACTAGGGGATCTCCGGGACTCGATGAAAAACATTACTACGGGCCTTCAGCACATCCAGGTTCGGCAGTCAGAGACACTGGAATCTCTTGCTCATGTTAAAGTAGAGAACTCGACCTTTTTTGCTACGGTAACCCAACAAATTCCCTTAGCTAGCGATTCCAGTACCCTAGTCCACGCGCTTCGGCCCCTATTAGAGCAGTATAAAGACGAAATTCTCGCAGGAGTCAAGAAGGAATACCGATCCGCGGCCCGGACAGAGTTCGATAATATCATTCAAAACACACCTGCTGCACTCAACGAGATGCAACACCGCAGCGGGACAGCACAACATGATTCTGAAAGGGTGGTGGTCGGGAGTAAAGAGACGACCGAAATGGATTCGTATACTTCTGAATCGCATACAACCCCCTTCGAGGATCCGAAACCGTTGCTCCCTAAGAGGCAGGCTCTTGGCCGGCCGGATAAGAACAGTATAACGATGCTCTACTACAACTGGCGGGAATGGCAAACTAGACTAGGAACTTTGGTATTTATCATCCGAGACAGAGTCCATTTTAACGAATACGGGCGCCCAATAAAGATGTACGAGCTTACAGTACACTTTACACCGTCGCCAAGTTGGCTGTCTACGGGCTTCTCAATGACGTACGAGAACAAAACCGATGCGAGAGGAGGCCCGGAGTTCGGTCTTAGTTTCAAGACGTATCGCGTTCTTCCAGACGACCATGAAGTGATTCGTGCTATAGAGAATGGTGATGTCTGTACTGTCCGGAATATGTTGTCGCAAAAGCTTGTTTCACCTTCAGACAGGAATTTGGATGGATGGCCATTGCTCATGGTAAGTTTAGATGCCAAAGGCGACTGCGATATTCAATTATGCTAAGCAACGTCAGTATGCTGTGGTGTCTGGTGAATTGGATATTTGTAAAGCATTGATACAAGGTGGCGCAGATATCAATGCATGCATTATCGGATAAGTACCTCCTAATCCATATTATAACTACCTAACCAGGTACACAGGTAGTTGTATAATTAGAGGAAGCCCGTCCTAACAAGCTCATACCAGTGACGGCAATGCTATAATTGCGGCAATGACTCCGTTTTGTTTAGCCAGGAATGTTGAAGCCCGAGCCATATTCCACTACCTCCTAAGCCTCCCCCTGGGATTAATATCGAAAGCTTATGGCAAGCTACAGGTCTATTAGAATTCGCGATATATTCCATGGTGATCCCCGGCGTTTTTGATCCACCTAAACGATTCAAGAATGTTCTTGAAGACTGGGTGTCAGTCTGTCAATTCATGGATGTTGATTTCAACGTCTCTAACCTGACTTTCCTAGAGCTTGTCGTAGAACGATTTTGGGACAAACCATCGGATCCTAGCGAAACTGTGGAGGATTTGATACTGAAATTCAACTCGGTTGTCCAGCAACGAATTGGTCTCGCGGATTCGGCAGATCCTATGGATTCATTATCTATAGGGTACCTTTGCCTTTCTCATGTGCAGTAACGTCTATGAAGCTCATAGAAATTCGTCCATATCGTGCGAGCCTTCGCCTATTTTATCGGTCCCTTACCGTCGTTATTTTCTACACCCTAGTGTGGCCCTCGGCATTAAATTCCTTGCCTACGTCATGTTAAAGAAAATTGCCGAATGCCCTGACTGTATTTTCGACAAGTATGAGGACATTACGATATCGGACTGGTTCTACGACAAAGATTGTTTGCAAGACATATGGGAAGATATACTAGAAGACCGCGGATTTGATGTTGATTGGGTCTACGAAGAAAATGGGAGACGGAAGCGCGTGGTTTTAGGAGAAAGCTCGACTCACGATATCAACATTGGACCGGATACTTCGAGAATATTGGATGTGAGGCGCCGACAAGGCTACGAGAACTCTGATGAGTAAGATGGGTGCGTTAGAGGCTTTTGGTCTTAGTTTTACGATATTCAACTTCATAGAATTGGTTAGGGGTGCTGGTTTCGCATGTACTTTTTTTTTCTTTCTCTTAACAGACAGAATGGACGACTACGCTTTCTTTTAAGCTTTCAAAACGCACGTCTATAAGGTCTAATAAGCGATAAGAACAGAAAGTAGTTGAAATGCCATCATTTTACTCTCGTGGAAGATTAACAACATCCATACTCTCGGGGTACGAGGTAAATATAAGAACCAAAATGCCAATAAACCCGAATCCAATACTTCTCAACAACGCAGATATGCCATCAATTCATTTACGCCTCTCTGATGCCTTATAAGCTGTCTAGGTAAATTTACACGACATGGCCCCCTTCGCCGTGATGTGCTCTTAAAACGCCATAACATTTGAATCCCACCGCCTCCCCTAAGCTCTTCTAAGTCAGCCAACCCCCCCCCCCCCTTTTCCCTTCCAGTCTTAACCGGATCCTTAACAAAAAGAAGAAAAAGCCATCCAGATACAACCCAACGCCAAGCCATAAATCAACTACATCATACAGCATTAGCATCAGCTTTTTGCTACCACGTCCTCCTCCGTAGCACGAGGCTCGATAACATCCGCCATCTGCGGCTCCTGCTCCTCCGCTGCCTCGGTGCCCGCCTTTACTTCGCCGTTATCATCCACCACCTCGCCCATACCCACGATATCGATCCACCGCCAGGCATCCACAGTCTCGTGTCCGCTACGATCTAGGATCGCCTTGTCGTCGTGAATACCGTCTTCAAGGCTCCTATCTCCAACTTCCACTTCACGATTTCCATCTCCACCTTCGTTTCCGCCCTCCCTTACGTCTCGACTAGTCGTCGCATCACCCTCGACAGTCGTAGTTCCATTCCCGCCCCCACTCAAATCCTTCCCGATAAACGCGCCATCGACCAGATCCCCCGTCCACGTGCGCGCGACCGGCACGCCGTTCGCGCGCAGGACTTGCAACATCGCGCGGCGGTTAAGCCGGAGGGCGCGCTCCGGCTCCTCGGAGCCGAAGACCCTGCGCGTGAGCCGCGGGAACAGGACTCCGAAATCCGACTGCGACAAGTGCGCCGAGCGCTCTACGAAGAAGAAATTCGGCTCGGGGAGCTTAACGCCCGACGCGTTGTCCTCGTAGAAAGCGGTCGCTTGTACCGTCGGTGCCGACGGATCGGGTGACAGTACCCGCGCCGTTGCATGCAGGTGCTCTTTCCACTTGAAGAAATCTTCTGATCCGATCGCTAGAAGCGCGTTGCCGCCCGGCGGCGAAGAGTTGTCTGCGGCGTACATGGGGAGCGGGAGGTTGAAGAGGGGTTTTGTGGTGTTGGCTAGGAGGGGGAAGCACCACATATCGAGGAGGATGGCGACGTTGCGCGGCGTGATCTGCTGGTAGATTGAAGAGTCGCGGGACGGCACGTATAGCTGATCGGACATGGCTTCGAGCTCCGGGCGGCCGGCGTAGAATACGGATTTGAGGAACTGGACGACGGTGGCTGAGCCGAAGCTGTGACCGGCGAAGATGATGCTACCCGGCTCGTGAATGTGTAGTTTGCCGATCAACGGGGAAAGAGAAGGAGTGCTCTTGTTTAGATTTGTCAGGGACAAGCCCTTGTCGATGCCCAGTATAGCCTCGTGAACCAGCCCCATCTCCCATAACCGTATTCGGAGTTGATCGTTGCGCAGAGCGTATACCTCGTCCGTGGCGACGTGTGATACGCGATGGTAGGGGACCATACGGCGCGTGCTGCGTACAAAGTACCGGTCTTGCTGCGAAGGGATGCGGATAAAGGATGCAACAGCGCTGCCGTCCCTATGCTCGGGACATATTACCACGACGCCATGTGAGGCCAGCGAGCCTACTACTTGCGAATATGCGTTTCTACTGCCGCCAAGACCGTGGGAAAATATGGCTGTCGGCCACCGTTTGTTCGGGGTGTTGGGCTCGAGTACTGGTGCATTCTTAATAACGGGGATCGAAGTGTAGTGTAGATGTCTCGGGAGAAAGCTATTGCAGATTTTATATAAGCCTATGTCCGAAAATTACAGTGATAGGAGTTCATTGGACTTACGAGATGGCCTCTGCTAGTAGTTGGCCAATTCCTAAGAATTGGATGTAGGCAGATAGATGTTCGCGCTGGGGAGCCGGCAGCCAGGTTATGCGCTTGCCCTGGGAATCCGGATGCGCCGGATAGAATATTCGGAATTGTATCGTCTCGATGTCAGCCGCATTGCTCGGTGCCGGAGCCGGTGATTCGAGTTCTGAGACTGGGATCTCAACGTCGACGGTGCCGACCTTGTAGGGTCCCGTATATTCCCCGAATCCCGGTATTGGGTTTAATCGCGACAGGAGCGAGCTCCATCTGTCGGTTTCTGAGGGATTGGCTGGTTGCGCCATGGATCGTCACCAGCGGCTCTTGGTTTCGTAGTTAAATAGGTGAATATGTCAAGTTGTCAAGTGTAGGTCGTTTGCAGTGATATTTGGTTTACTGCGGCAATTGTTCCTTATTTTGAATGCTCGCAGATGTAATATGGTACAAAAAAAGATTAAGCGAAGATTTGATGCTATGACCGAGGTTAGATATGAAAAAAGCAAATTTCTTGAAATTTTGTTCGTGAAGCGTTGATAAAAGTGACAAGATTAAGGGTTCGCCGGCGCTAGGGGGGGGGGGGGGGAATGTATTAGTTGACCGAGCACAGCCTCGCCGCTTTGCCCTAAGGTCAGTTACTTTACAAGTTGTAAAGAAAACTTTTATAGAAGTATATTATTGAATTTTAGAAGGAGTATATGCTTAACCTAGTTCATTAAAATAATTTGAAAAGTAGGTAGAGATTGTGTAAGAGTTAAGAGTCAAGAGAGACTGTAGAAAGTAGAATAAATAAAAACCAAAATGTTTAAGTTGGTTGATTGGTTCGGCCAATAATCGTCTACAATTCCTTGGCCTCTTTCGATTATTTTAGCTGACCAACACGTCATCAATTTAGCTACGAATTCCTCTTTCGTCTTAATATGTAGATAGTTAGTGGCCATGACCCAACGGTATCTAAAGAAAGTTTGCCTTCAAATCTGTGCACTTGAATGAATACTACTGATCACACGATAGTCGCGTGCTCTCGGTCCAAGATCTCCAAATATTTTTTTTTAAACTTTAGCAAGTCTAGTAGCACATAAGTGCGCCCTCCAAAACCTAACCACTGCCGTGGGTTCAGCGGGCCCTTGATTACATCATTCCGCATTCACATGCAAAGTCCCCTGTCCTGGGTAACAAAATGGTTCCTGAGCTCCTGCAGGCGACTATCACTTTTCCCCAAATATTGGATATTACTATTTATCGTGTAAAATAAGGCCTGTTTTCTCGTCATAAGCTCTCTCGCGCATTGCTACATTCAAACTAAATAGGCGATACCGGAGTATTAGTAGAAACGCTTGGCTCTAAGTTGCTAAATCCTAGTTATTCTAAAATCTAATTAACATCGCCTAAATTGGGCGGCTATTGATACATCTGAATGTACACAGCTTGGTCTTGATATCGAATCATATGGGTAGCTCGCTTCACTGCCATTCGGCATCGACCTTCTCCCACTTGTCAAGGAATCCTTTAAAGAATTTAACACCCAGACCTGGATCTAGAGAACCACATGTTGCACGGATAGAATGCATGCTAAGCTGGGCCATTCCAGCATCCGCGGCCTTGATGCCCATAGCACTACTTAACATAGGTCCAACTGTGCCGCCACTTCGAGAGTCATTCCGGATCTGGAAGACTTGCGGCGTGCAGTCGCTTAACTCGGCAACTCTGGTAAGAATTGCAGTCGATACCGAATCCGTAGTCATATGGCCATTGCTGTCCGCGGCAATGGTAATTCCAATGTTGAGACGAGGTGCATGTCCGTCGAGGTAGCGGGATAAAAAGTTGGGGTTTACGGCATGGCTGACATCCGCCGACACGAGGAATGACTGCGCATACGTTTGACCTAGGACGCCAGGCCCAAATGCCTTATCTTCTCCGCATAGAGACTCGACGGCTCTCTCAATTACAGACGGGAGGAAATTGCCCCTTGCACCTTGGCGTAAAAGAGAACCAATTTCCTCATCGTCAAAAAGCGCGACTAACTTTATAACACCGTCGTCATCGTTTGCCTCCGAAGCCAGCAGAGCTTGAAATGCCGCCCAAGAACACAACTTATCATCAATGCGACCAGCAAAAATGAACTCTTTATCCAACCCACCCACAGTTGCGGGCTGGAGATCGAAGAGCTCCAACTCCCAATTTACAATTTGGGAGTGGTCTTTAATGCCTAACTTTTGCGAAATTAGCTGGACGAGCCTCGGTGGCTGGGTAGCAACAAACGATCCAGCCGGACCCAAAGGTTCAACCGGTTTAGCATTCGAGGATGAAATATCAGAATTGTCAAGTCCAATAATTGGAACTGCTTCCGTCTCCTTGTTTTGTTGACCCAGCATACCCACACCAAAATGGGGAGCAAGTGTTGGTATACGAGCAACTATGTCCAATTAGCGTTAAGAATCGCACATTTGCTTACAGCATACTCACTAGGCCAATCAAGTTGAACGAGTCGGCTCGAGGTCTTGCCAGACTCGTCCCGTACAATAACTCGACCTCCGATACTAAGATCCCGATCCCACCAGGTTTCATTTAGACCACCCGCGTACGGAGCGACTCCTAGTTGGATATACCCAGCTTTGGTCGGCTTGTTGCTAACGGGCTTTAATTTTGCGGTTAAAGCGTCGATGTGACCTGCGATGATGGCTACACCATTTCCAGGCTTGTATGCCTTTCCAACCGTGAATCCAATAAGAGAAGTGCCATTTCGAGTCACGTAATACTTGCCACCAGCCTTGAGCTTCCCAGACCAGTCATCCCGTGCAGGAAGCTTTCAACAATGCTTAGCTTAACTCTTTAAAATCATAGTCAACTTGGAATACCAACCTCCTTATAGTCAAGGGCATTTAATTTGTCTTTAAAGTAACCGACGGAATGAAATACAGTAGGGTTCTCTTGAAGAAACTTGCAGAAGGGCTCGGTGAAAGCCTCGGGTTTCGACGCCAGGATATCGCACGCAGAACATTGCTGTGTATCACTTTCGATTATGATATTCGTACGGGTTCGCTTCTCTTTAGGTATATCCTGCAAACAAGAATCGCAAAGGGACACGGACCCGCTGCGAGCTAGGTCACCGACGACAAACGCCTTTACAGCATCGGATATAGTTGGCTCATTTTCGAATTCGGAAGGGTTGGCGAAGCTTGACAGACGAGACGTGCTTAAAGCATTTGTTGCCGCTTCGCTTCGGAGAGACAGGTTGGAGGTGCGCTGGCGCAGGTAGTCGGATGTGTGTTGCGTCATGTTTTAACTGTGAAATTGGTTCGAATTCGTAGTTGCCAAAGGGAGGGGGTAGAGTAGAAGACGGGGTTTTCACTTGGGATGTCGGGTAGTTAAAAAGAGCGGTAAGTCGGGTTTGAGATGAGTGAGAGATAGGAGGTTGGGATGATGAAGTCAACACGACCGCAACTACCAGGCAACCCGGCATCGCAAGCGCGCTAGGAGATTGCGGCAGATAAGACATTGCATCACCTGCTAATTCCAGATGACCTAGCTCGGAGCCTCAAGTGCCACTCACACAGGCACGCTAGGCCTTTTCCCCGGACCCATCAGGGGATGCTAGGACGAGAAGTACAATGCATAGGTACATGCACTAGCCCCGCCACTCCTGTCTAAACCAGCTTCAACAAAGTTAAAAAGACATTCAAGTCTGGGAAAGTTACATTTGCGTAGGTACCTAATCATTAATATACAGTACAGTACCCTTGCTTTGACTATAAATAGGTAACTTACATACATGTAGTCTAAATGTGCTTATTAACATTAAGGTTTCCTGTCTGTTCTCTTATCGTAATTCAGTCTTTGCTAGAGCTTAGGCTCAACCTTTCTAACTCTATCGCTTAAACATTCGGCTAAATTATCCTTGAATTACATATATTTAGTCGTTATTCTCATCAGAACGGACGAACTCTCTATATTAAACATATTGTTTAATGTACGAAAAATTATAGTTTTGGTTGATTACGACATAAGCATCCACCGTTCATCTTCACACCAAGTTCTGGCTGACGCCATCATAGGTAAGATTTTAAGTCTAGGTGATGTATCTCATGGTGAACTACGATGGCGTTTGAACTCGTCTTCTCTGCTCTACCCAGAATAGAAATACTATTCAGGTTGATTCTTGTCTTTCGCATTATGAATTGCCGCTCAGGGCTAGAATAGCAATATTATATCTAAGTTAGCCAAATATTAAGGGAAAATTAGGTTAACTATGCCATTTATTCGCCTAGGTATTAAATATCATGTCATATTAGCTATGGACATGCTGGCAGCGAGCCATCCAAGGAGAAGAGACGCTTACAGTACATGGTGGGCGTTGTCCACTTATATGAGGTTAGCTTGCACGAGACAGGCCAACCTTCAAATCTCGCAGTCTTTTTCTATCACTCTACTGGGCCCGGTCTTGAAATGACTGCATAATATTTATAGCATGATGGACTAACGTAGCCTGGACCCCCTTGTCGGGAATACCGACTAGACTCGCATATTATTACAGGCTAGTGGTACCCATGGCCTCAGCACGATGGGATTCTATATATCAAACCTTTCGTCCTGTTATGAAACCCATTTCTACTGATTCTTCCATCTATATCAGTTGCTCTAGTCTCTAAATGGATGCTCTTATTTTTAGTGGGTTAACAGTCCTAGAGCTGGTTGCGCTCCGGCCTAGCAGGGAACTTGATAGCCTATGGATACTTAAGAGGTTCGTTGCAGTGTTTTTCATACAATACGCTGTCCTAAAATTCTACCGTATTGTATTATACCCAAACTTCTTCTCGCCACTTAGGCATTTACCAGGACCAAAGGTATTCTGTGAAATAAACCCACCCCACTCAACATGACTTCATTCTAACCTTGGAAGTAGGATCATAATCTAGTCCTTGGGCAAGAAGTGAAGAAGTTCAGAGCCGATGGCCCCGCTAGCGTTCAGCTACAATGGATGCGCAGATGGCCAGACACGCCGTTTATTAGATATATCTCGTTCGCTGGGAAGGAAGTCCTACTGGTAAACAGCTTGGCCGCGCACAAGGCTATTCTACAGACACGTGTATATGAATTCGTCAAGCCCCCTTTCTTTGCGCGATTGGTTGGAGAGATCACGGGCGTAGGCCTATTATTCTCGGAAGGGGAGGCCCATAAGCGCGAACGAAGATTGTTGGCAGGCCCCTTTTCAGTCCCGAGCATGAGAAAGCTCTTACCTGTCTTTCAGACAAAAGCCAAGGCCCTTTCGAGTGTTTTTGAACAATTGCTCGGCGAAAAACCACATGCTACTTTAGAAGGTATGGTAAAAACCGGATGCTACTATTATAACCTACGTTGTTGTGAGGCTAATCTCTTTTTAGCAATTGAAATCTTTTCTAAGTCGACCATGGATACTATAGGTGTAACGGTGCTGGGAATCGAACTAGATACTATATCGTCAATGTACCCGCTAGGTTTCCAGGAACTTTATGACCGAGTGCTTCATCAAGGGTTTCTGGGTCAGCTTATCTGGGTTATTAATGCCTTTCTACCAGTCCGAGGAATTATTCCTTTAGAGGCAAACCGTAGGTTCATCCAAACGACTGCCGACTTGAGAAAGATGCTACAAGACATCATTCAGCAACGCGCGGTGGACCTAGCAAGCGGGACTTTCAGAAGAGAAAGGGGAGAGTCTAGGGATCTTCTTACATATATGCTGGAAGAAGCTGAATTGCACCGACAGGAGACAGGG